CAAAGGAAGCAACAGAATTAGCTCTTAGCCCTGAAATGTTTTGGTTGCTTTATTCAGTGAACTGAATAACCTTGGTCTGACTTCTGTGAAATTTTAGTCTTCTCTGCTCATGAACTTCCTATTACCAGCCAAACACAGCTGTTCTGGCAAGTCCTGGCCAAACAGAGATAGTCTTTGAGGTAACTCAGTGATATCCCATGGAGTGTGCAGAGCTTTGCACTTGAAGGCTTGAGCCAGGCTCACTGTTTTCCAGCAAGCAGAACTGGAGAGCAGTGAGTTCCCATTAGGCTGTACTGCTGACTCCAAATGCTCCTGTGTTCATAGCCAGACTGAGATTTTTCTAGGACACTGGGCTTTGTTTTGAAGCTTGATGGATTACAGGGAGTAACTTTGAGGATCACAGCTGCATAGAGGTTGTGTCTGGACACTAATGTCTGAATTTCAGTAGAGTACATGAAATTTAATTTTCCTCTAACTAATTTGCCATCACTAACACAATGCAGTGCTAAAAGCCTCCCCAGTTTACCAACCAACCAACCAACCAACCTTCACAGCTCACCAACTTTAAACCTCTCCTTATGGTCATGATTAATGTGGAGACAAGCCTGAATTCTCTAAGTCAGAGCAAGTGGAAGAAGAATTATCCTCTCACCCTCTGAATTTGTTCAGGGAAGAAGGATCTGGGCCTTTAAATGGTGTTTATTTTCAGTCCTGGTCCTCAGCCCTGGGATACTGAGGAACCATTTGTCCCAGAGCCCAGAGTGACATCCTTCAGGCTGGACATGCAGGTGTACTTCACATCCATGGGCAGGAGAAAGTTACTGGAAGTTATTATGTAAGATGGAAAGGGAAGCTTCTAAACTGCCCAAAATGTTGGAGGAAGCATGAAAGAAAAGAGCAGGAAGATGGTGTGGTAACCCTCCCACCCACAGAAGACTGACACTGTCTGTGAGCTTCAGACAGTGGTTTTTACAACACTCCAAAGACTAGATCCACATTGTTAGAACCAATATGTATTTTCACACTGGAAACTTTTATTTTTGCAAAAAGTTGTAATGCTGGGGGCAAAATTTTCCACAGGGGAAATGTCAAGACAGGTCAAAGATATGTGTTTAAATATTTTGGAAAAAAAACCCCATCACTTATTTGTTATGAAATTACTCTTTTTTCCCCATTCCATCATGGAAGTGGAAATTAGTCATTGCAGTTATTTTGAAAAAAAATGTTTGATTGATATGAAACTAGATTTTCCTGTTTATGTGCTCCCCCATTCTTTTAATCTTTAGAAAATTTTAAATCTAGTTTTGAAATGGTTTTTTTCCCCCGAGGTTTAACTAGCATTTGAAGTAATTTTTAATTTTGAGTGGCTGAGTGAGTTTTCTGCCAGAGCTAACACACATTCAGATATGTATATCAAGTTCTTTAAATATCTGAAATGTGTTCTGTTTATTTTTATTTCATAGTCTTTTGACTAGCTTCTGTGTTTAAAAAACATCTCCCTTTCTAAAGCTTAGTGTCAGTATGCTAGTTTTCAGCACGATTTATTCCATGAGGTTGTTGACTTTAATTATATTGTGGATAGTCAAACACTCTTACTTAGTGGCTCAATTATTCTTGCTTCTTGGACCAGTTCCTAGGTATTACTTAGGACTAAATGGAAAAGTAAAAATAAAGTCTTGTTTTCTCATGTGCTGTAGAACTAGTTGTTCTAAGAAGCACTTGTTTATCAGGTTGAGAAATCTCTCCGTAAGCCATAGACCATGTGGTGGCTGACTAACTTACATCCTGAAACACAGAAGCAAATTTGGAAAGGACTGTCCAGATTGGTAAGTCCAGTTACTGGATACTCAGGGTAACCTGGGTTTGGAAACCTTGCTCAGCTGCAGAGCTGATAGGGTTTATTCCCTTACTGGAGCGCTCAGCAACTCTGCTGAAGCCTTCCTAGCATCAGCTGGGCACTCAGTGAGGGAGACATCGATGTGGATCATGGCTAAAGACAAAGGCTGGAGATGGGATTTCTCCTAATGATGAGAGCTGTGGGCTGTGACACAGCCCCTGGGGGGGACTGGAAACAAAACCTGACTGCTCGTCCATTGTCCTGATGGAAACAAAACCTGACTGCTTGTCCATTGTCCTGCTGGAAAAGCCTTGAGGTCAATGCAGGCATGGAGAGGCTTAGCAACTCACACAGGCTATGGTGAAAAGGTCTGTCATTTTGGGTGTGAATGCAAATCATATTTAAGTCCTCATCTATAGCACTCCCAGCAGAATTACTCCATGAAGGGGGTGACCTGGGCCATGCAGAGGAATCCTGCTGAGATCTCCTTGGTAACTTATCCAGTGGCACCAACAGATGCCCATGTCTGCTAGCACACTCCCAGTAGACATCTCAGAATGCTGTGTCCTTACCTTTATGATTGTTGGTTCATAGTTCTTCTTTTTGTTCCCTAATTATTTCTAGCTTATGAACTTTTAATTTACAGCAGGATTCTTACTGCTAATTCCAATGGCAGACCTTGCCCTTGCCCTACTGCAAATGATTTTGTTCCTGCTAATGAAGATTTAAAGGTCATACTTTTCATCCTGTAGGAGCTCTCAGACTTCCTTTTCACTACTGTTCCCTCTTGCTTTGTGTTATTGACAAAATTCCTCAACAAGCGTTCATTTTTAAAGCCCGTCATTAAAAGAAGTAATGTAAATCTAGTCCCAAGAGAAATTCAATTGGCAATTTCTCACAATTTCTCCTTTTCATTGCTTAAGTTTTTGCCCCATTTGTCCGGTTCCCTACTATCTTGCCGTTTTAATGTCCATTTTCTTCCACTTAACTAAGAGTTTGCCAGATGGCACTGGGACCAATGATTTACCAGTATCTAGGCAGATGAGGGTGACCAGATCTTCTGAGTCCTGATTTCTTTTACGGTTCAGCATGTTATAGGGTTGAAACTTAGATGACCCCAAAGGGTGGTAGACAAGGGCAAGAAGTGCCCTCCTTTTTGCACTGCTTTCCAAAGGTGGTTCCTGATCAAGTGCCCTTTGCCTTGAGGACAGTTCAAGATTACTGTCCTCAGGCTCTAAGGACCAAGAGCTGCCTGTACAAGGACACAAATAACATGGTACTTCATTACCACAGTGAAGTCTGAACCTTCCCCAAATTCATAGAGCACTGAAGGAGCTAAAGATAAATCCCTTGGAAAGGAGCTGCTCACTGTTCTCTGTCCAAACAGTGGTGGTTCTTTATCTCCATGGGTGTGCTATCATTCTCATTTTGGGCCAGGAGCCCAAAGCCCAGTCCAGCACTCACAGGGGCTGTGCTGCCCAGCTCTGCTGTGAGCCCCATGTGAGCAGAGGGGGCACCTCAGGGGGTCGGGTTTGTGTGTAGCTCTGTCACTTTTGGGGGTTTTGGAGCTGACACCTTTGCCACGTGAGTTTTCAGTCTGATATTAGCCTGCCATTAAGAGGGGGATCAGTTGTAAAAGCAGCATGAACTGAGGTGGGAGAAGGCTCCTGGCCTACTGTTCCTGCAGAAGAACAGGTGCCCTGGCTGGCACTGTAGCTTGGGACAGAGTACAGCCAGAAAAGGAGGGGGTGAAAGGCAGGGGGGTTCCTGCACCAAAGAAGGAGACTGGAGCTTGTTCTCATATCTCTGTTCACTCACTGCTCCCAGGCATAGAAAAGCCACCTGGATGTGGCTGTGTCCCCTCTAGCCGCTGTGTGTGCTCTGGCTCTGTCCCTTCTGGCTCAGCTCTTTGATGTTGCTGGCTTCCCGGCTGTGGGCAGAAGGTGGTTCTGATGGTAGCCTGGGGGTGGACCAAGAGTGGGAGAGGGGAGGAGTCACTGATCGATGCTAGTGAATAAAAGGTCCCTCTTCTTCGGTCCAGGGTGCAGGACGCCAGGAGAGCTGCCCCCTGAGACAAGAGTTGCAGACTGGCAGGGAAGCAACAGCTTAGTGAGTATTCAGGGACTGCCTTGCTTTTCCTGGACAGCTGCTTATTATCATTGCCTTGCTGGTGCTTCACCGCTGTAAAGTGTCAGGAGTGATTGCTATAGCGTGTGTAGTGTTGTGATTTTCCACTCCAGCAGCAGACACATCAGGGCTGCTTTTCTGAGCCCTCCTTTATTTGTGAGTCTACAGAGATTTCCCTGGCATGTGCAGGTTTGTCTTAGCTCCTTTCTGTATTTCTAACCAGTGGATGCTGAAAGAAAGCAGAGGGATTGGGCTCACTGTGCTGCATGGTATGTTACCCCCAGGGCAGCCCACTGCTGCTGAGTAGGGGAGATGTGTGCTGGGAAAGCATGGAGTGCAGGGGGAGCAGAAGGAAGTATTTTTGCAAGAGGAAGAATTCCCCGAAGGAGATTTGTTGGAATAGGGCTGTGTAGCTGGCATGCTCATTCATCCCTTGAAAAATGTATTGCTTCCGTGGTAACAAATGAAACATTGGGGTTAAAGTGGTGTTTGTGGCTGTTCTCCTGTGGTTGATGGCAGGGTATGCTCCAGGCATTCTGGGATCAGAGTCCTCTGAAATGGGAGCAGAGTCTCCTAGGGAGCAGAAAGCTCTGCCCTGAGTGAAGGCAAATAAAGAGGGTTTGGCGCGAAAGCGTGTTGGAATTTCTCACTGGGCAGCTTCACTTTCTTTCCAAAGTACACCCAGCATCTTCCTCTCTGTGCCCCACTGCTTTCCCACTGGAGTCTGTCCTCCAGCCTCTCCCTCATGTTTTTCTTTATTAGCAGCTACTGTACAAGACGTTTGGGAAACCTATAAAATTCATATTCAACAATAAGTCCAAAACTTCTAAGTTCTAAGGAATGAAAAGGATCCCAGAGCAGAGAATTTCCTTAAAGAGACTGGAGTGGCAGGGCACAGAGTGGCAGCAGCAAAGTCTCAGTTCCTGTTTCACCTTGTGTCTATAGCAAACTTTTAGCTTTTTCCCAAGTTTTTCTCTTCATTTCAGGCTAAACTCCAAACAGGCAAGAAGTGGATGTGTATGGGGGGGGCCTTGTTGGTGCAGGACTGAGCTGCTCTCCACATGAGATGAAGAGCAATTCTTTCTCTTTGGGCTGAAGTTGAAGACTCTCTCAGTTTTTCTTCTTTAGATAAGAGACTTCAGGTAAGGGTCATGAGTTTGACATTGAAAGAGTAAATTGCAAAGCCCAGAGAAATCTTTTTCTAATGGATTTCACTCCTCACTGATTAAGTGTTAGGCTCTGGCTAGATGCCCCAGTGGTTCTTGGCTGTGTTACCTTCAGTGTGGCTTCACGGATTGGCATCTGAAGGTGACAGCAGTGACAACAGTGCAGTGGTTTGGGGAAAATGGTCTGCAGCCAGAGTGCCTTCACTTTGCATCCTGTCAGTGAGAAATCCTGATAACTGCATATACACAAAGACAAAACAGGCAGTAGTCACAGCTTGGATGAGACATAAGAATGGTTCCTGTGGCAGAGGTTCACCCCCAGGCAGTGTGTGGGGTTCCAGCCCCATCACTGCCACTGGGAGGGCTGGCAGGCAGTGGTGCCCACACCCCTACCTTGCCTCCAGCAAACTCCTTCCTTCTCACCCAGCAGGGACAGCCATCTCTGTAATTCCTTTTCTCTTTCACTTCTTTCTGCTGTTCCAAGAGCTGGAGAGTGGAACACCCCATGTTTTGTCCATCTCTGCTGCCCACGTTATTGGATCCAGTCAAACTCTTCTAGGTGTTAAAGGCAAAATAATTCTCCCTGAGACTGCTGGCCTTGAAGATTCATCCCAGATGAAAAACTTTATGTTGGCTAGTGACTTCACTGCTCATGAGGCAAGGACTGCTAGTGCTAGACCAGAGAGGGAAATGTTTGCATCTGACTCCACCAAGAGGAGTTCTTTGGGCTGCAAGAGGAGTCTGGGGTCAGCCCCACAGCGAGAGCCTTCAAAGACCGAGTTCTGGGTGCTGCTGTCATCTCAATGCAAAAATCATGATAACAGCAGCAGAGGGATTCTTTCTGTCACTCCTGAAGCAATAAAGTAGGAGATGAAAAGGGGCAGCAGGTTGTATTCCTCCTGTGATAGCTGGCAGGCTGACATTGCAGCAGAGGGCAGCTGGAGAGAGGGGGACTGAGTGGGACAGGAATGTTTGAAGCCTCATGCTCCATGTCTCCATTGGCAAAGTTGACAGAAGAGTTGGGCTGGTTGTATCCAGACAGAATATGGTGAGGGCAAAGAGAGCAGATCAGAGGAAAAACCAGAAAAACAAACATTTATATTTGGGATCAACACACACCTCTGCCTTTGGGGCCCTGGCAGCCTGTGAAATTCCTTCCACTTGCCTAGGCCAGCTTGTCTGAGTGTGGAGTGCTAGTGACATGTTTGCCTCTGGATCATGTCCCCCAGCCCTGAGCTATGAGGGGAAGGGGGCATGCCCCTTCCTTCCCAAAACCTAATCCAGTCTAATAGAGGATGTTTTGTAGCAGCTCCAAGAAGAGTGTGTACCAGCTAGCTGTCACCTTGCCCAGCCTCTTTCACAGGCTCCCTCCTCACTCTGTTTTCATAATAAACATTCCACTGCTAATTTTGCAGTCAGCCCAGGATCTCCAGCTACCCTCAGTGAGGAGAGAGCAGAGCCCAGTGAGAAGGACAGAGTGAGAGGTTGGTCCCTGCCCTGGCACAATGCGCGCTCTTGTCGTCCTTGCGCTCCTGGCTGTCCTGGTGCTGGCTGCCACTTCCTATGGTAGGTGACCTTCATTACTGGGTAGAATGAAAACTCCAAACCTGCAGACATTTATGAGTCTGTTCGGATGTTTGTTATTTAACTTTGTGCCTTCTTTGCCCTTAACTTGATCTCTTGCCTGCTTTCCTGCGCTTGTGTCAGACCCTCCTAGCCCTGATCCAGAGCTGTTACCTCCAGCCTCTGGAATTCATGGTCCAGGATGCTTCGATCCCTTCCTCTCTGCTCCACCTCACCTCACAGGCTGCTCCTCTTTTTGTCCCTTTGTTGTCTGAACTATGATAAGTGCTAATTCTTAATTATTCCATGCTAATTGGAAGGTTTTCCTTTTTCCTTTTGTAATATCATCTCCTTTTCCTGGTGAGGCACACAGTTCCATATTGGTGGAATTATGATGCTGCTTCATGTGAGAGTCAAGTGCATTTCACTGTGCTAATACATCCTCTAAGAACACATGCAAGCTTTGAAGGCAAATTGGTATCCTACCACCGTAGTGTCAGGAGCGGAAGGTGAGGAATTGTGCTGGACAATCAGGCTGGATGACCAAGTGTAAGTCTGGAAGCACTGACTAAATCACCAGATAGCTCTATAATAAACTCCTGAGCACTTTAAACTCCTCATATAAATTCTAGGTCACACCACTTATCCCTTTCTCTTCCTTTTAAACACGTGCCTTAAAGCCTGGCTTGTCTGATTTCTGTGTGTGTTCCATTGACCTGTGGTGTATGAAATACTGAATCCCATCAATACAGTGTCATAATACATGTTTCATTCTTTCTTTCCACAGAGTCCCATGAGAGCATGGAGTCCCATGAGTATCTCAGTAAGAGACTGCTTTACTATTTTATTGAATTTGAAGAGTGCTACAGACATGTCCAAGATCATTTACTCGTACTCCTACTAGGGATAAGATAGGTAGAACAACTGAGCCCAGGGAAATTGAATTTACTGAGTGATGGAGTTTCAGAATGAAAAGGGAGAGAGTTCAAAGAAGACTTCACCATTTTTGGCACAGGCTCATACCATTATTTTGCATTGAATATAATGAGAATTGGAAAAAAAAATTGAGAACAGAGCTCAGGTCTCTGTTACATGTACCAAAACCATGGTACTGACATAAGAAAGGGAATTGCTCAAAAAGCTCCATGATGAGCATGGAAAGAGCCACTGTAGAAGCCACATACAGAATTTATTCTCCCCCAAGTACAAGGCGAGCCTTACTCTAAGCACCTTGGAAGCAGGCAGGGTGTGTGAATAGAAGGGATCTTTTGGCTGGAAGAGGGAGAGAGAGTGTCACAGGAAAAGCATGAAAAGGGTGAAGAGTCTCACTTTGGAACAAGCAATATCCTGGAGATTAAGTTAGAGAACAGGTGAATCAAAATGAAAAAGAAATTAGGACATGTGGAAGAAGGACTTCACAAAGCAGACAGTTAGCAACAGAAAGACATGTGACATCCACAGGCTCCTGAACTCTGCAACAGGACTGTGATGTTTCTCAAAAATGTCAGAAGGAACTTTCAGGCCTCCCAGTCCAAAACTGCCACACAAACTTCTCAATGACTGTCTAACCTTGGAGGCAGATTTACTCAGGCCCTTCCTGTGCAAAATTTCACAGTTCTTGTGGTTCTTCTGAGCGTGCTCAGATGTCCCATGGTCTGTGTAGCTTGGTGCCTACCTCTTCTGGGCCAAGCTCCACTCCATCAGAGGGGCTGTGGCAGCAAAATCACAGTAACATTCCTCTGAGTGATTTGAATAAGAACAAGAGCAGCATGGGTACTTCTGTAGGCTGCACTGAGAGCGCCTGTACATGAACCAGCCAGGGGACAGGAGGGAATATTAAAAAGTCCTGGATTTAACTGTACACAGGAGGGCAGACAAGGAAGCTGTTCTAAAGGAGGAAGCCAGCTTTTGTTGAACTCTGGCATTGACAAAGTGCCAGTCTGAATAACCCCTTGCTTTTTCAGATCCCTTCCTCAACAGGAGAAGGGCCAGTGACTTCATACAGTCAGACACCAGGCTCAGAGGTATCACTCAGGAGAGGTATGTCATGGCCTCAGGAGGCTGAGCTTGGGAGGGGGGAGAGATTCCTCCTAGCCAAGGCAGGCTGTTAGCAGCAGTGGCAGCCATGGTGACTGGTGAGAAACCTCAGTCTCTCTTTTAATGTGAGGTACCATTTCAGTCCCCAAGCCCAGGAAAAGCAAGAATTCAGACAACACAGAGCAGGTCCTTTGATTTGGAGACATGCCACATGCTGAGAAGACTGATTAATTTTTCTGAAGGAAGCACCAACAGAAGGAGAGAGAATGAATGTGGGATGGTCCAAAGGAAAGCTCAGTTTGAGATCTTTTTTTAGTCCTCAGCTCTCATGCAGAACTTGCATGACCTTTTCTAAATCAAAGAGCCATCTGAGAGCCTCCTTGCCTCATTTATAAAATACAGGGATAACTAATTTCATGCCTTATTCAAGGCTTGTGAAAATAAAGATTGAAGCACAGAAATAATCTCTTAGCAAGGCATAAGGCAAACTTTCTCCTCAGTAACAGTTGATCCCTTCGCATAATATTTCAGGTCTTTTTTCTATGATATGTTTGGGAAAGAGCAGAAGAGCAGAAGAGATCAGGCTGAGGAAGGCTGCAAAGGGAGGACTCTTCCTCAACTTGAGGCAGGAGCCGTTCCCCTCTTCCCACCACCTCACTTAGCCCCTAAATAAAAGGTTGCCTGAGGAGGCAAAACATTCGTGCTATAGTCCCTGGGTGTAGTAAACACAGAAGCTGGTGTGCTAAGAGCTTTGTAGCTGGATGACGGACTCTGATGGTGGATCCTTGTGGAATTTTTCATCACTCGGGGTCACCAGCTGTGGTAGTGTTCACAGGGGTCCAAGGACGAGGGAAGAGATGAGAATCTTGACTCCATCTTTCAGAAGGCTGATTTATTATTTTGTGATATATATTATATTAAAACTATTAAATATAGTGATATATATTATATTAAATTATATTATTTATATATATATATAAATAATATATAAATATAAATATAAATATATATATATTATATATATATAATATATAATAATATATATATTATATATTATAGTGATATATATTATATTAAAACTATTAAAAGAAAGGATTTAATCAGAAGGCTAGCAAGGAATAGAAAAGAAATGGAATGATAAAATCTTGTGACTGACCAGAGAGTCTGAGACAGCTGGGCTGTGATTGGTCACTAATTAGAAACAACCACATGAGACCAATCAAAGATGCACCTGTTGCATTCCACAGCAGCAGATAACCATTGTTTACAGTTAGTTTCCGAGGCCTCTCAGCTTCTCAGGAGAAAAGATCGTAACGAAAGGATTTTTCATAAATGTGCCTGTGACAGATCCTTAATCCAAGCGAGGAACTCAGGACAGGAAAGGGCTGCAGAGAGGTATTTAGGATGGCAGCACTTACCCCTCTTCTCTCCTGCCTTTCCAGGATGAGGGAGCGCAGCAAGGCACACTACGAGCACCAGAGAGAGCTCTGCGAGGACTACTACCCGTGCGAGATGTACGCCTACCGCCACGGCTACCCCGCTGCCTACAAGCACTACTTTGGGGGCAGGAGGAGGACCAAGTAAAGGACGGCCCGTCCCCACCCTGGAGCCTGGAGTCCAGGGTATCCTCCCCAAAATTGCAATGGCTCTGAAACATACTCAGTTGCTTGTATCCCTGTATGTTATCCTGCCTGCTGCTTCTCTCTCATGTAGCCATGGATTCCGACACTGTGTTAATTAGCGCTGAGCTGATGTAGCAGAGATCACAGAGAGTTCAGGATGTGGGTGTTTACTACAAAATAAACTGCTGGTTTGATACTATCTTCTCATGAGTCACAGTATTTTGGAAGGGGGGTATGCAATTTTCCACGAAGGAACTGAATTTGTGTATCATACATTCTGTTGCAGATTATGGGGAAAAACATCATTACCTGGCAAGTATATGGCTTTGGAAGAACCTATAATGTTCTTGTTCCAGGTTCTACAAGTAGCTTCTTTCAGAGGTCACTGGACAGTTTCAGCTCCCAGTCTTAGTCTAAAACCAGGGGGGTGTTCAGAATGTGAACGCACTTTTTGAAAATCAAATCTTTCCTCAGTAGGGGAAACAAAATCCAGAGGGCACCTATTTCATCTTAAAATGAAGTCAAAGTGAGAGTTGGTGACAGAAAAAGCTTGTAAATTGCCTCTTGTTTATCCAGCTACCATCAGGTCCTGATGTTAGGTGCTCCTTTAGAAAGGAGTGTGTGGTCCAGACTTAACTTGTATTTCCTTTTGCAATCCCCTTTCAAAACACTTCCATTTGAAACTACTCTGGTAGCATTTGAAAGCTGCAGAAATCAAAGCTGGAGAGGTGCTCCTGGTGGTAAATAAAAAGAAAAAAAATCCAGTGTTTGGGGTCAGAACCAACTTTGTTCACATAGAACCGTTTCATTTGACTGTTCACATATAGTTTGAAACAAAGATGTGGCTCGACCCTGTGCACAAGTTACTCCACAGAGCTCCTCCTAGACCTCGGAGTATGGCTGCATTCTGCTCACCATCACCAGGGCCTGTCCCCAGGCCAAAAGGCACCAGTGCTGGCATGTCCAAGAATTCCGTGCTGCTCTGGGCTTGACAGCAGCCACAGCAGCTGGGACATGCCTTGGTGAGATTTGTGTGGGAGACATAACTTCCATCTCAGCTCAACACAGATGGTTTCAGCACTCACATCTCCAGGCTTACACAGGCATCTGCAAATTATAGAAGCTGGAAAGATTCATGGCATGCAATCAAAGTCTGTGATGTACAAAGTATCCCAGTGTTGACTAACCTGTGAAATTAAGTCTGGAGCCAAATCTACCTGGCTCATTAGAAACATGCATCTCCTTCCAAAATATGCTTCAAGGTTTGCCAGCTTTGAAACTGAATGTGATTTATTTATTGAAAACACTTCTGATAGGAAACTCCACCCTGACAGTTGCTAAAGTTTTGTCCAGAGGAAAAAGTGAGAGAGAAATAATTTTAAGGAAAAAAACCTGTACAGATTAGGTATATTCACACACACTTGCTCTCTATGTGCTCAAGTAGGTGAATCTTGTGATTGCCAACTGAAGCAAACTCACATATGCTAAAGTCAACAAGTCTGCAATGTCTGGGTTTCACTTGACACTGCAGTGACACCACCGCAACAGAAGGGACAAGGTCTAGTGCTGTCTGGGTCTGTGTCCAGAAATACCCAGTGTTTCCAATCCCCAATTAACCAGTATAAATAATGAATAACACCTGAGATTTCTGTGGGATTTCATTAGCATAGGCAACAACCAAACAGATTTAAGAGACTACATGCTGGTTAGAAAGCTTGGGAAAGGATGGGAGGATAAATAAAGCTGTTTGGGTTACTAGAATTGTCCATTTATATGTTTATATTATTTCAAGTATTCATCTGGAAGCATAACTTTCCTAGAATACCTAATATTTTTAGATGTTTATTTACTTTTTAACTCTTTTGCTGGAATACTATATATACAAGACTTTTTGCTGGATGTCATTAGTATATATATTCAGCTTTCCTGACTGTAGAAAAGTTAACAGGGACAAAAGTTAGGGTTTATTTTAATCCTGAAAATTCTCTAAGCTGAAAGACAGTGTTTCTAAGAATTGGAAAAACCCTTAAATGGCTCTGATTTTCCTTGGGAGCCTCTTAAACTTTACTTCTGTAGCCCTGCACAAGGATCTGAAGAGAACTGCATATGAAGAGGAGGAAGATTATATCTCTGCTACCAGAAAGAATGAGCACACTTGATTAAAAAAACCACAAAACTACCCAAACTTGGTCACTTGGTCTGTTCAGCCAGGAGGAGACCTCATTGCAGTGTTCAGCATCCTCCTAAGGGGCACTGATCGCTCTCTGGTGATCAGTGATAGAACCCAAGGGAACAGCTGGAACTGTGTCAGGGGAGATTGAGTTTGGATATCAAGAAAAGGTTTTTCACCCAGAGGGTGTGTGAGCTCTGGAACAGGCTCTCCAGGGAAGTGGTCACATCACCAGCCTGACAGAGCTCAAGAAGAGTTTGAACAATGCCCTCAGGCACAGGGTGTGAGTCTTGGTTATGCTGTAAGGCCAGGAGCTAGAGTTGATGATCCCTGTGAGTCCCTTCCAACCCAGCATATTCTGTCATTCTGTGGTTCCCATGCTCTTTGTGGGATGAAGCTTTGGTAACTTGGGTGGTGAGTTTGGGGAGTGTGGGGTTATTGACACGTAGCCCATGCAAGGCTCTTGTTGTACCAAGTAACTTTAGCAATCAGGTCCTGAAGAATAAAACAGTTTTGGAGTCTAAATGTCTATTTGACTTTTAGCCAAAAGAAGCCAAGATAAGGCTTCTAAATTATGAAGATTTCCAGGAGGAAAATAGAAAGGTCTTCCCTCAAACTAAGTTCCGAAGTTCCTAAAAGTATAAAAATCTCATCTCTACAAAGTTATTTGGTGTAACTGTGAAACTGTCTGAAAAACTACAGTGTTTACCCTATGCAAACTGATTTACAGGTTTCCTTACCCTCAGGGAAATGAGTCAAGGTGGGGTGGAAGAAAAGATCACCATTGTGTTCAGTCTCATTTGAGAAACTCCACACGAGAGAGCCCCATCACGTGAAAAGAATTGCTCTACTTCAGTGTGTGCTGGTCTCTCCCCTGGCTTTCCAGCATGACAGAATGACTTTCAAGTTTGTAAGAAAAATGATTTTTTAAATCCAGTTGTTTTTCTTCAACAACCCCATTTAAAACTTCAGATAACATCTTCTGGAAATGCCCCGAGCCATGAGATGGATGCCAAAATGACTGCCAGGACTCGGTATCTCCCAGCCCAAAGGACGGGCTTTGTTTTGGAGCACACACACAGGAACACAAGCCAGACCCCTGATCTCTCCAAGAAATCACAGGATATAAACTGCTGCCCAAAAGCAAGCCCCGGAGAACTTCAATAACCTCCAGGAAAGCTCTGAGGTTAAGGAGACTAGCACAGCCAAAGAAGACATGAGGAGTCTGCTGGCACTGCTGATCCTGACTCTGGCCCTGGCAGCACTCTGCTGTTGTGAGAAAGGTAAGGGGACATCTTCCCAGGAAGGCTCTCAGAGCTGCTGAGCCCTGCAGCTTGCTGTCAGCCTCCCTCCAGTCTGGGAGAGACACAGAGCTCTGGGGGGAGGAGATCACCCCCAGTCATTGCACAGCTTCAGGTCTCTGCTGGAGAGTCATGGATGAGAGAGGGCTTGGCAGCAGAGACCCCCATCTTTTGCTGGGCATCTTCTTCCACTGGTCACTCACCCCCACCTCTGCTGCATATTGAATTGCAGCAGGGAATTTGAACATTTTTAATATGTTTAAGATTTCAACTGGTTTATCATTTAGTCTCTTTCTAAATGATGGGTGTTAATAAAACCATTTTGGGAGAAACAGAGCTTCTATGTAAGTGGGGGGAGCAGGATCAGTCAGTGGTGGGATTCAGTTACAGAGGAGGATGACTCACAAGCATAGAAGGACTCACAAGCAGACTCCTTTCTGTCTGTCTGTCTGTCTGTCTTCCAGATCCCAAAGAACCCTCAGGATCTCTCAGTGCTGACAGTGAGTATATCATTTTGCCTGATGCTCAGCTTCATTCTCCTGCATCTTGCCTTCTTTCTCCACTTTGACATGTTCAAGAGCTGAACAAGAACCATGCTGAGTCCCTCTCTAACTCTTCCCTTTTCACTCCCAAACTCTGCAGTGCCTGAGGGGCAGGAGCATGTGCAGCAAACAGAGCCCCTCTGGTGTGAGCAGATGACAGGAGGGCAGCCAGTGCCCCTGCAGCAGCAAGGCCAGCACTGCTCACGGTGTGCAGGTGGTTGGCAGAGCATCCCTGCTCTGACCTGCCCTCAGAGAGCTGCCCAGAGTGTCTGCTCATCCCCAGGCCGCTCTGAGAGCAGAGGCTGCCCACATCAATGGGTTGTGACATCCCTGCCAAATCCTGCAACAAGGAAACCCTGAATGAGAGGGGCTTCCTTGGCTGCTCCCGAGTCCCTCCTGTCAGGTCACCTGGGATGCTGGGATTTGCACACCTTGGGTTGTTCACAACTTTGGCAGCAAGCTGATCCTGGCAGAAATCTGTATGGAAAATCCTTTTTGTCCTCTCATGTCTCTCCTTTCTCACACTTTAAAGGATAACATTGCTGCTGAGAAGCATGAAAGCTGGTATTTTTCCAGTGAGCCAATACAAACACAGATTGGGAAAGAGGAAAAAAAGATGTAAAGACTATTCAGGGAAAGGTGATAGTTTCTGACAATTCATTAACTGGCAGTTTCTGTGTAGTCAATATTTTGATCCAAACTAAAGCTCAGTTTGCTTGAGATGGGGTACCTCTCACCTCCGAAGAGAAACACAGCCAAACACTCCATGATGATGAGGGAAGGGACAAAACCCACCATCTCCCCACAGGCAGAGATCTGAGAATCTTTTTTCCCCCAAAGACAGCAACAATTTGGCAGTTTCCATGCTGAAATGTGTATTGGTGTGCTGCTGCCTGTGTTGCTGCTGTGCCAGCACCTGTGCCCACCTCTGCTGTTGTGGGACCATCCCATGGAGTGAGGCTGGGCTGTGCTGAGCTCTGGCTGGGGCTGGGAAGTGGCTGTGCCTGGTGTTTGTGGGGTCCTTCACAGGACCACGGTGTTGGCACAATGACAAATCAAGGGAGCAAAGAAGAAATCTGCAGACATAACGTGTTAGTGGAGAGCAGGGACAAATGCTCTCATGGCTGAAACATCTCTCATGTTCTCCAGGTCCTGAATGTTGGAATCTTTACACATCTTGGGTGAATTTCTCACTGGGTGATGTTTACTGTCACTATTTTATACTCTTCACCTTTCACGGAGCTCTGTACATGTGAGCACTGTTATTTCTGTGTGCTGCCTGTTGCTCATGGCTCATTGGAGGTGCTTTAAGGTCTTGTGGTTGCTATCCCACATCATTCTCAGTCAGAGTCCAGACACAGAAAGGAAGCCAGGACTCTAAAATTAACTAGGCCAGGGAGAGAGGGTGCCATTCTCCTAATTTTGTTCTTATTCATATTTTATGCCTCCTGCACATTTGCTGCAGACTCAGATTATGTTCTGTGATAAGGAAATTGAGTTTATGAGAGAAAAAGCCCTTGCTTCATGGAGATATGAAGGCTGCAGTGATGAGGGAGCTATGAGTGGACAGTGGAATGGGGAGAGATGGACGGAACACTAGGATGGTTTGTGGAAGTCATTTGCTTGTGAAGAAAGCAGATTCTGCTTTTCAGAGGTTGGACTGGTGTCACAGACATATTTTATGAAAAATCCTTTAAGTAGGATTTTTCTCCTGAGAAGCCAAGAGGCCTCAGAAATGAAATGTAAACAATGATTATCTGCTGCTATGGAATGCAACAGGTGCATCTTTGACTGGTGTCATGTGATTGTTTTTAATTAATGGCCAAACACAGTCCAGCTGTCTTGGACTCTGGTCAGTCACAAGATTTTATTATCATTCTTTTCCATTCTTTTTCCTTGCCAGCCTTCTGATGAAAACCTTTCTTCTATTCTTTAGTGCAGTTTTAATATATAATTTTCTTTTAACATAATGTATATCATAAAATAATAAATCAGCCTTCTGAAACATGGAGTCAAGATTCTTGTCTCTTCCCATGCTGGAGTTGCCTGCGAATTCAACATTTGGTGACCCCGAGTGAGGATCAGTTCCACAGACTGGTCTGTGTGTTTCAGTGCTGCATCTCTAACCTGATGTGCTCTCTCTTGGCAGGCATCAAGATCAACAAAGAAGTTGCCAATGCCTTTGTGAAGAGGAAGAAGAGAGCCAGTCCTTATGAATGGTAACAGCTCAGGAGCTGGGCTGAGAGCTGGACCCTGGACCTGCTCTGAAGAAGTGGTGGGAAGGCCATAGGGCATGACAAGGCATTATTTTGTTGTATATCTATATTATTACCTTCATGTATTGAAGGAGAAAGGCTGTAGGAGACATTCGGTAATGGAAAAATGGTTCTTTTATTCATTAAAACCCATTTGAAGGCTCATAGCTGGACTCTAGTATTCCTCCCAGGGAGAAAGATAGCACTACTGTGCTAGCTATGGAGACAGCGGGGTACAGATTATAAGGTGCTCCAACCTACAGGGTCGTCAGAACCAATTTTTAGGATAATGAGAATCATAGAGCCTTGGTCATTGCCTCTGGTTTCCCACAACAGCTTTGTTGCAGGAATAAGGCTCGATCAGATTGTCTGTTCTTTCTAAAGCTGTAGAACATGTATTTACTTGTGCCAAAAAGTAGGCTATTTGAGAAATTTCAGATAATGCAGGGAAGTTCTTCATACATTTTCTGGAAGAGGTTATTAAGCTACTCTTTCAAATACAGAAATTCATGAGGTACTGGTGAGATATCTGTAGTGGTGTATACCGTCTTCAGGAAAGATTAACCAAACATAGAAGAGGAATTGAGAATGATATCCAAAGTGTACAGCTGAGACTGTACACTTTGGATGCACAGTGAAAATATTTGGACTTTCTTAGCCTGGCAAAAAAGAAGAGAAAAAACTACATGGAGATAATGCTCCTGTCTACAACAGAAGTGAGGATTGTTAGAGAGAGGTGTTTAAGCTAAAGGAAAATAATGGCTAGTGGGCAAAAATAAAGGTAAGCAGGAAATAATAAAATAAATATATAATTAAATAAATAACAAAGGGAAAAAACCTCCTGCCTAGGTGGGGAATGAAATTGAAGACAAAAAAAAAAAAGCCAAATCCTTACAGCTTCTGTGGTATACTTTGCTGGTAAAACCTCAAGAGCAATTGATTTAATTTGGGTTCAACCCCATATTTCCCAGCATCGATCAAGCAGCCTAACCCTGTGCAAGCAGACGTTTAACTCAGCATGACCAGTGCTCTGCTGGGTCTCCCTGGAGGATTGCAGGGAGCATTGCTCCAGAGGATCACTTCTTTCCTGTCAGTGTCAGGTGTATGAGCAGCCCCCAGTGCCTGGGCTGAACCTGCAGAGCGGTGTCTGTGTCTCCTGCAGGTACCTGGAGTACTACAAAAGCCCGATGGAGCAGATGCACGAGCGCTGCGAGAACTACCCCCCCTGTGACTATCTCTCTGACCAAGTGGGGTTTGCCCTGGCCTACAACCGCTTCTTTGGCAGGTACTGACCGTGGCAAGGTCTCTGCTCCTTGGCTTGGAGCACTCCAAACCCCACAGGAGAAAGAAGCTGTGCTTGGGAAGGAGGGAAGGAAAGCATCTGGACTGGCATCTTCTTCTGTTGTGTCCCAACCAGCTGGAACACCAAGGCTGGGATTATCCCACTTGTTGAGCTTCCATTAACTTCCTTTCATCAATAAAGTCTCTCTTTAAACAACTTTTATTGTATTTTGAGCTTCACCAGAAGACCCTGTCTTATTTCTTTCCACCTGAATCCCCAGCAAACAATATTGGGAAAACAGGGATTAATTTCAAGAAAACCACTGCATGCTTTAGAAACATCACTAGATCTCTTATCCTCTTCTGCAAAATACAGGAGGATTATGGAAGAAGAATGTCACAGTGTGTGTAAATGTGATGGATCTGATCCTGGGATGCTCGCTGTGAAGAAGGAAGAACACCTGCCTCCTGTTCCAATTAATGGGAAAGTTCAGTATTTTCATGTAGTATAATCACATTAAATATGCATCACAGTAGGATCATTTGTAAAGATAGGAGTGTGCAAACACTGAGCAATCAGCTTCTGGTACACTCTTCTGATTACTCTGTCATAAAATTTGCTGTATAGCAACAATAAATAAATCTCAAAAGGTGTGTTTAAGGAGTCCTTTTAGATGATCCCAACATTTATGTACTGCTTTTCATGACTGTAAAAAAAGACTTTGAATTCTCTTGGTTTTTCTGGTTTTTTGGTTTTGGTTTTGTTTCTTTTTTCCCCAACCAGCTCCTAGTGAAACTAAAAATACCCAGCAGAACAAAAAAAACCCCAAAAAACAAATGCTCTTCTCCTCTGTTGCTTTTGCATTTGTGCTTGAAGTACCTAGACAGCTAAAAACAATTAAAAGAAAAAGAAAACAATGCTATAAACATTATGAAATTTAAAAAAAAAAGAAAATTTGTTCAAGGATGAATTGAAATTGGGGCAGCATTTTGTTTATTCGAGACAATTGGTAGCTATATATATATATATATATATATATATATATATATATATATAACGTACATGTGTTTTTATCCTTTTATCCACATATCGTCTTCCCTCTGCACTACTTCATTCTGTCCTCTGGCATTAATATTGTACCTTAGCAGCTTTCTGCATAACCTTCCTAATTTACTCTGTCAGCTTTCCTTCCCTGAGGGGTGGACAGCAGATCACACCTCCAAGGACAGGGACTGCGGATGCTCAGGAATCTGGCAGAGTCAAATCTCTGGTTACATGCGAGCTGGTGCAACCACCCTCAGCTGCTCACTGCAATAAATACTGCTATGTAAAGCAGGCTGGTCTGCTGCTTCTTTCTGTTCCTTTGTACAACCTCTACCTGAGGTAAGCGAGATGCCTGGAAGACACGGCCTGCTTTTGTGAAGTCTCAGGAGCAGGAACCCAGTGCATGATGCTTCCTTCTCCCCTCCCATGCCCCAGAGTGAATTAGAAATGATGATGCTGAAATTTAGGTCATAGGTTCAGCACTCTGTGACACTGAGGGAGAGGAGGGCCAGAAAAGCCTTGTCCTGCAGTAAGGACACAGGAGAAGTCCACAGAGGTGGCTGCTTTGCTTGGCGAGCTGCTGTGGCTTGCACTGCTGACACTGATTTTGGCCGAAGAGAAGACAATAAATGCCTTCTCTGCATGTCTTGGTCCAGCGCCTGTGACTGGTTCCTCTATTGACATAAACTATCGGGGCTTCACTGCTCACAGTAAAATCCTCCTCTGAACGCCATCTAGTAAAAATTAACAGAGTGCTTAATTGAAAATAGTGAAATTTTTGCTTGGAAAAATACCAGAGAGATTAGCAGAATCCTCATATCCAGTGTACTAATAGAATAGGGGTATTTTGGTTGTTGTATGCTTTTGTTAGCACAAAAATTTTCCTGTCTCTATTTGCATCTTTCTGTTAGTTTTATATTCTTTCTCTCTCTTTCAGTAAATATTTTTTTCAGGCAAAAAGAGTTACACCCGGAGGCCTCCATTATGTCATCTGCTCTGTGTCATCAGATCTCTTCATGGGCTGAAGTCATTATGACCTTTGGGGATCTGAGCACTCAGATAACGTTACAAATTTACTGCTGAAAAGGAGGAATTCGATTGTCACTTGGTCAATGCAGCGGTATGCACCGCCACAAATCCTCTGCTGCCATCTTTCGGCCTTTGTATTTGTTGTCGTTAATGATAACTTGCGTTTGGAAATAGAAATTCCTGTCCTCCTGATTCCCTTCATACGAAACATTCACTTACAGGTCAGAGGGGAAAACCAGGGACATAATTTACAAGTGGATTATATGCAGCTGAACTGACATTTTAGTGGGGGTGTTTATCATGACTGCCAAGCTCCCAAGGGAGCCTGTCCCAGTTTAGGTCTGCTTTATCTCTACACAAACAGAGGTGGAGCTGCCTCTGAATAAATTCGTGAGCCCTCCTGTGAACTCACTTTTAGCAGTCAAACAATCACTTTGTGAAATACAGCCCAAGGTAACAGAGACATTCCAGGATGGAGAAGTAGGTAGTCTGCATCCATCACTTCATGGCACTTCATGGCATCATCTCATGTCACCTGCAGCAACTGCTTTGAAAGGAGCCCAGTATGAGACCTTTATGTTGCCCCCCACCCTATCTCAGCAATACTTTGTAGACAGTCTGTCCACAGACTCCAAGCAGCTTCACAAACCTCCCTTATCTCAGGGAATCACTCCATGTCTGGAGGCGCCCCCTTCACCCAAACTAGCATTACCAGGCAATGGAAAATGGGCTTCACTTTTCTGTAGTCAGATCCAAAGCCTTGACTGTTCTTGGCCTTTTTCCCTTTTACACAGAAAAGTTATCAGAGGCCATGGGGCTCTCTGGGTGAATAACTCACTGCCAGTATTTGGAAGGGTGTCCAGAAAGCAGCTGCTAGAGAAAGGTTTGTCTCAGCACAGGATCTGCTTTTACACGCTCATTTTGGCTGTGCCAGTGCAAACAGTCCAGCAAAGTGGCACTCTGCAATGCTGTAGGAGGAGGATTGGCACACAGGAGTAGAAAGCAGGGGGTGATAAGGAGGAGGAGAGTTAGGTTATCACTGCTTCCAGATGAGATCCCAACCTACCCTGCACTTCTGTGTTGGCTTTATCAGAGTCAACTTCTTGAAAAGAGCTTTTAAACTCTTAACCAGGGAGCAGTCACCCTGACACACCCCTCCTTAGGAGGAGTGCCTTAGACTTCTCCAAGCCATGGTTTTCTTCCGATTTGCAAGAACAACACCAAATACCTTGGAATCAAAAGAACTGTCAAGGTGATGGACATTCATGCCAGCTGAAGTTGGTGCAACCAGACCTTCCTTATGGATTTTGGGCACATTTCTACCAGTAAATTGTCTGCTTGGACTGATTAATGACTTCTGAATTGCAGTGAGAATTTGGCAAATGATCTCTGGTTGAAGAACAGCCACGAAAACCTCAGTGAAAATTACAAACTGCAGAATTTTCCAGTTCAAAGAAAAACAGAAAGAAATAGGTGCAAATTACCTTTCCTTAAAAAAAAAATGTTCTTTACAGTGTCTTGGGTGGACTCTGGGAAGCTGGTGACACTGGGCAGCCTCCTGCTGCTGATCTTCTCACAAATATTGATAAAAGAGGTAAATATTGTTCTTTATTTGAAATAATGAAATTGCTTATACCACAGATTTTTTTTTCCATTTGAAACGTGTTCTTTAAGGAGTTTTGGGTTCAACTTAAACTTTTCTGCTTTCAGTTCCTCTGTTCCATTTCTTACCTGTCTTAATTTGTTTTAGTTACTTGGTTGGAATTTTCCTCTTGTTTGCAGCCAGATGATTTCATAGAGTGTTTGTGAGTAGACCTAATGGAATCTTTCCTCTCATTTTCCAGCCTGTCTATATTGACCAATGCTCCTGGGAGATTCTAACGTAGCACATCCATATCAATTAAGAACTCTGTCATCCTGACCTGTGGTGGGGTATAGACAACAACCTGAGGTGGTTCAGGAGGGTTTTGCTAAAGATTTGCTACCTGCCTCGCTTGCTCTGCCAATAATGACAAAGAGGCAAGGAAAGGGTAGAGAAAAACTTGGCTTGCATCTACAAAGTTAAACAAAAAATTCACACTTCTGATGCTTATCTTCATTTGCTTTTGTGTTGCAGGCTGTATCCCCCATCCCCATGGATATGGCTCTGCTAGCGTTTGATGACCAGTATCTGGGGTGCAGGGAGGAGATGATGGAAGAACTGGAGCAAGGAGACTATTTCCAAAAGGAAATAGCTGCTAACAAGGACTATCTGCGTCTCTGGAAGAAGGCTCAGGAGGCTTTGCTGAAGAGCCCTGTAGGTCTGCTGAGGGAAATGCGTGACAGCCATGCCACAGCCCTCATGGCTTACTCCATGAACTCCTCCCTTCACTCCCAGCTGAACTGGGCCACATCCACGGCAGGAATCTCTCCAGAGCACTACAGACACAACTTCAGCTTTAAATACTTTCACTTCTACCTAACAACTGCTATCCAGATATTGAAGGAATGGCAGAGCAGCATGGGGAAACATAAGTGCTACCAGGTGCACAGGGGTGTAAAGGATTTATATATCGAGGCCAAGGAAGGCAGCAGGGTGCGATTTGGCCGTTTCACTTCTACCTCCCACCTCAGGAGTGAAGCTCAGAAGTTTGGGAATGAAACTTTGTTCACAGTGACCACTTGTCTGGGAGCAGCTATGCAAGGCTTTTCTTACCACACATCTGAGAAGGAAGTCCTCATTCCCCCTTATGAGATATTTCTTGTCAAAAGCTTCCTTCAAACCCAGCAGGGTAACCGGTTGCATCTGCATTCTGTGGGGAACTACAGCAAGTACCAGTGCCAGCTGGTGGAAGGTATTGTACACAGGTTCCCATGCAAGGGGGCACAGGACAGGCTGCTCTCCACTGCCCCAGGCAGCCCTCACCAGCTGCACCCACATGGGGCCACACTCAAGGCCAAACCTGTAGCTCACCCGCTGTGTTTGCCTATGAGAACCCCAAGACCCAGCTTTTACCCTGTTTCAGTTTGCTGTGAAACCTGGGACAATCCCACAGCTCACTAAAGATGAATCAGCAGGTCTCAAGGTTCTTTGCAGACCCCATTTATCCCAAGTGTCACTGCAAGGATGTTGCAGTACTCATGGCTTTGGGTCCCCAGCATTGTTATTGCAAGAGTGGGTGAGATTTTCTTGAACTAAGCAATCTATGCTGGTGTCTTGCAATACTGCTACACTTCACATTTCAGGACTGTTCTAGGCTTTGTTTCACTACAACTGTGGCAAGCTAACACTTCCACACTTATCTCTGGCAAGCTGAGAGAAGCGTAAACAAAACTACTGTCATTTAACAGTGACCTCTCTCCTAGCAGGGACAAAAGGTATCCTTTGACAAAGAACACACCGAGTTTCCTGGTTATAGAGAGAGCTCTATGCTGGAATACCTCATAGGGCCTATTTCACATCCCTGCCTTTCTGTGAGTCTACCACCAGTCCTTGCTTTTGTCTCTTTGTTCAGCAGTGTGTCAATGTGATCTTTGAGCTCAAAACTATAATTTAGGAATGAGGGTTTGTGCCTCCAAAGCCAAAATAATAGACAGAGTTGAGAAAAAGACCTTTGTGGGCAGAGGTTGTGTTAGCAAAACCAAAAAGCTTTAGGCAGTGAATAGAGGTCTGAATGACTGCTCTCTTTATTTTCTTTCAGCTTCAAGAAGCAAGAACAGTGGTTATACTGCACTCGCCTCTGCCATTCTCCCAAGTGTGCTTGGAGTTTCCCTGTGCTTGGCCCACAGTCTCTGATTTTCTGGCTGCATCCAGATATGTACAAGGAGCCTTTGGAGTTCCTGCTGCTACAGAAGGTTCAATCTTCCCTTTGCTTTCAGCTCCAACTCAGCAGCTGAGACTGGAACATTCAGCCTGGTTAATCCAAACAGACATTCCCTGTACCATTCAGGTAGGAGGAAGGTTATCTATGGCCTTTCTGAAGACTAGATCAGGGATGACCTTCACTGAAGACAGCTTTGTCCTGAGGCATTCAAGAAAGATACACAGGGACTTTGGACTCCTTACAGATCTCTTCATAGCTTTATTTTTAGTGAGAAAGAGTCAGTCTGTGGGATGTGGAAGGCACTATGGCAGTAAATTCAAGTGGGTAATTGGGCAGCTGTGCACATCCCCTTTGGGAGCAGAGAGAGGTGGTGCCAAGATTGCATTGAGGAGTTGGATTATTGTGTTGGCTGAAGAGACAGAGAAGTGCATTAAGTTGTGAAGATTCTGGCAGACCCTGAACAGCCTTTCTTTGCCACTCTTAAAAAAAAGATGAACAAATATTTCTGGAATGATGTCTGACTCTCAAAAGCAAACAGAGGAAATCCAGAAGTTGTTATTACAGGGGAATTACAGAGGAATAAAGGTGGATATATTTTTTGCTAGATTGTGACATTTTTGAAATCAATTTTCCAAACTGCTAGCCCAGCTGACCCATTCTTCCCCAAGACATTAATTGGAAGAAAACACAGAAAAATTTCTTGACAGCCTTTGCTGGGACCTTGCCAAGCAGCCAGAAAAATATGGCGTAAACAGCTGGAAGTATTCTTTCCCTGATGGCTGCAGGAAGTATGACTTTGACTTGCATTCTCCAAAGTAAGGGAAGTGCTGTAAATTAATTATTCTTACATTGTGATGGCTTTTGGTAATTTTGTGCAAGTCCTAGAAAACAACTACTTTGCATCATCCTCAGAACTATAATCCTTCAGTTTGCATATACTGGTGGGTCTACACAGTTTTTTGGGTGGGGGGAATAGACACAGCAAAGTCAAACTCATAACATCTACGTTCAAGGGACAAAGCAAATGAAGACTGAGTAATGACATGTTTTGTCATGTTACAGTTCCCTTAAAATGATTTCTATTAGCCAGATAATACACTGACTAGATGGTGCAAGCATCCCTTGGTAGGTGGAAGCCCAAAACATTGTGCTTGCTTGGGTGCCCATCATGATACCATTTTGACTGCTAAGAAAATTATGTCCTTCTGCTTGCACCTCTGAGTTCTCACAAGGCCAACCAGAGATACACTCCTGGGATAGTGTGCAGCTCAGAGACTGCTCCTGATGTTGCCTTTGCTTGTGCCAGAGCCCTGTAAAGCTGAGCTGGTTGCAGCAGACATTGCATCAGCTATTGCTGTGGTTAGATGTGTAGTTAGCAGTGTTCAAGCAATTGCAACTTCCTGTCCCACTGTATACTTTCAAAACCTTATTTTCAGAACTCAGTTCAACCATCTGCCTTTTCCTCCATTTCTTTCCCATGGCAAAAGGGGTCTGAAATTGCACAAAACGGCAAAATTGATTTTAGCCTTCACTGCTGTTCAGAGCTGAGTCTGGGCCTCCACACCTCTTCTACTCTCATGACATCAGAGACCTGGCAAACTGCAGCAAGGAAGGATGACTGACACCCCATATCAAGTATTTTCCTCCAACTCAATAGGCCTGCAATAATAGCTATTAATCCTCCCAAAAGATCCAGAGTAAAGCAGGAACAAAACTGTCTTCATATTGTTCAAATTATTTTCTGTCTTGTTCCAAAAGATGAAGGCTCTAATAGAAAAGAATTTGTATCCACTGCAAACACAGAAGACCTGAAATCAGTTTCCAGAATGTGACCCACAGGCAGCTGCCAGCCTGATCAATTCAATTCACTTCAATACTGCACGAAGTATTTCAGGACTACATGGCATTCTCAGTGGAAAATACTCAGCAGTCACAAGCAATTGACATTTCCAGAACTATAGCAGTTAAATCATTTAGTGTTCTCTTGTAGCTTATGTTCTCATGTCCACAGCTCTGACAACAAGAGAGTTTGGCACTCTGACTGTGTTCATTAGAGTTGAATACAGCAGCTCAGCTTTCAGATGAAAACACGTTAGCGATTGCAAAGTGCACATTTTATGTTTCAACTTATATTTTCATCTGAGAGCTCAGCCATCCTCTAGAGTGGAAGCAGTGTTCCTAGTGAGACCCTTGTGGGCTGCAGGTCCACCTTTCTAAGGACAAGAGCATAAAAGATGTCTAGCTTGGTTGAAGGCATGTGTACACTAGCTTGTACACATAGGACAAAAATAGGACAAAGCCTATTTCCACTCTCTGTGGTGTCTATTCTTCAGTTTATGTGGGACCATTCAATTTTTATTCTGTAATTTGCAGGTGTACAAAAGCAGTCATTGCAAAAATGCATTATTTCAAGGCATAGGTGCAAGCATGAATGTTTATATATACAAGCAATAGAAACCAGTAAAAAACATAATCTTGTATCTGTTTGAATTAGAAGTGCTGTCCTACACCTTTTATGTTCTGAGGACAGCAAGTAACACCATCCCCTTTCAGCTGTAGCTGCCTGTGATGGCACCTCTGCAGCAGGTAGGAGGGATTTGTGCAGTACCCATTCTCTCCAGGAACAGAAGGCTTTGGAGGATCTAGTAATTGGGAACTAGCATTGAGTAAACTCAATTCTCTTAAAATTGGAAGGAAGGGAAGAGGACGAAGAAAATGAGATGAATCTGGGTAAACATCACACAATAGAATTAATGACAGGCAGGCACAGGATGCAGCTGAAGCCCAGCCTCTGGATCCCTAGCTCATCACATGCTGCTGGAAAGCACCAGGCGAGCAGAGGGGAAAGAGGCTGAAGTTACTCTCCCATACACATTTCAACAGGAACATTCAGACCAAATCAGGTAGGCAGTGTAAATGTTTAATTAGAAAAGTTTCTGTGGTAAATCTGCACAGAGAAATCTCTGGAGAAATAGAAATACAGAAATATATGTGGCCTGCCTAATTCTAAAAGGAAAATATAAAAGCTAATGAAAGTGCTAATGTGAAGAGTAAGAAGTAATTTTAACATTAGTAGATATAAAATCTAGAGCAGATGTAAGAAGTTGAAATAATCATATGTAATGAACAGATTCTAAAAGTCTTCTCCACACCTGTCTAGTATGTAAAATGCTTGTTGAAGTGCTGTTCCTTCTAAAACAATTTGTCTTCTCACTTTCTACCAATAAGGGAAAACAAATGACCTTACAACAAAACAGCACTGGAGTGGAAAGGTTTTAGTATCACACTGAGTCAGAAAGCAAGCCAGCAATATCCCTGAGGCAGGATTGATATGAAATCATAGCCTGCATTATCATGGCTTTATGTTTCCAGAAAATCCCAAACCTTTACTGTAAATGTATTTGGCTCCCTACAGCTTGTATAAGAAGATGTGTTAAGCAGTTTATTCTCTTGGCAGAGATTCAATGTAAGTGGCTGAAAGAAATATACAGTACTGTGCAAAATATTGGGGGAGAAAACCTCAGACTGGCTTGTGTTTCAACACTGAGATTAAAAGTTGGCAGGGGATTGTGGAATTCATTCTGGTTTTCTACAGTGACCTTGTGGGGGAGGGTGTGTTTAGTAAAATACAGCTGGGTCAGTGTCAGATGATTTGCAGCTAACAGATAGTGCAAGAACTACAAAGGACCAAAATGGCACAAAGGTATCTTTTCAAGAAGAAAAATCTGGGTAGTCCCCTACACATAACTATTTGTAGCTCTAACTGTGATATGTAGGCACTAACAAGAAGAGAAACATCTTAGAAAAATGCAAAGCACTGCACAAAAGTGGCCCAGATTTGCAAAAAGAGGGCTGAGATCATGAAAAGTACCAACAAAGAAATGAGTCATCCTACTCATTCATAGTTTTCTCCTGTAGCAATGATGCTTGCATTTAAGATGAAATAATGTTAAAGCACTTTCACTTTGCAGCTAGTGAAAGGTTAAAGGAAGTGACAGTGTTGATTACAGAATCTTAGTCATAAGGAAATCCTCCATGATCACTGTTAACTCAGTCTCTTTGGACTCTATGTTGGCATGCAGTTTATGAAGAAATAAATATCAGGGAAGGAAATACAGTGAGAGATGTATGTAAGGTGATATAGGTTAGGATGGGGTTATTATGGACAATTTTACTATTCATTATGAATTCAGAGGCTAAGCTTCTTAGTATAAGCACAGAAGGCTTATATAGTATCATTTTCTCTTGAATGTTAGAAGAAAAAGGCTATACTGGCATAAAATGCCTTTATTGTGGCACAAACCATATCCACCAAGCATCATAGTTGCTGAAAAATTGAATGCCACTAAATGGATGTAATAGGCTGATACAAAAGAGTGCCTGGACCAACCCTTTAATCTTTAAGCCACATCTTTAATTTTGCTGATTAGATGAGATTGTTCCATTTTTTAGTGAACTAGTTCAGCTTCTACCATCTTCAGTTTCCAAGGTTCAGTTTCAATCTCAATCTTCAGTTGCCAATGGCTCACATCTATTTTTCCAGCCTGCTCATTACATATTTGTTACCTATTTTTGTTGCTCTGAGCATAACTAATGTCTTAAAAGGTGCTTTTCCAATCACTTGGCAAAGATCCAGAACAAGAATTAAGATTTCTAAATTTACAAGCTATGCCTTGGGACTTGACCTGCTCAGTATGAAAAGAACCAGTGGGGCAGAGACAAAGCAGAATTCACTGCTCTTTAGGGGCTATGGTTATGGGTGTTAATCAGAGTAAGAAATGTCTTTTCTCTCTTGAAGTAGCCTACTTCTGAAGAATGGCATTGAGTGACCTCCTTTACCCAGATAATCCCAAGAGAAAGCAAGAACTGATCCATCTGCATCAGGAATTGCTTGACTGTATGTCCACAAATTTCCATGCAACAAACGAGCTGGTTGGAGTGCTGAACGAGCACCTGGGCTGCACCATTACCCCCATTGAGATGAGAGAGAGCAGTACAGTCAAGGAAAACTGTGAGAACATCATTCAAGTGATGAGTGAGATTCAGCACCAGGTGCAGAAGATTGACAGTGACATGAAGGACAAGCTCGAGCCAGTGCTGTACCAGAAGCTATATGACATCAAAGAGCCCGAGCTGGAGAAAATTGCAATAGCCCAGAGAGTTTTTTCCATAATTTTTGGAGAAGCAACTTCAACAGCTGCAATGGTAGCTATCAAACTTCTTGGCTCCAATCATTTAACTCTCACTGTGAGCAAGCTCATCGGCGTCCTTGCGCAGATTGGGGCCTCTGTTCTTGGGGGAGTTAGCATCACCATCATTGGGCTGGGCCTGGAGATGATTCTCCATGCCATCCTGGGAGCTGTGGAGAGGAGCCAGCTGCTGACAGCTGTGAGGAGCTACGAGAAGCACCTGGCTGAGTTTAAAGCAGCCTCAGAAAAGTACCAGCGTGCCATACATGAAGTGACTTCTTTGGTGAGACAGCAAGTTCAGTAAATGAAGGTGGAGTTCTCTCTCCTGCTGTCACAGCAGCTGCAGCAGCTTATGCCTGCAGAAACCTTTTTGATTCATTATGACAAACAAACTTCTGATGGATTTTATTTTCTTATTTGTGGCAGCAGAACAAGAAAAGAGACAGTTCAGGAAACTGGCACTGAAATACATTAGTAAAGAACTGGTTTACAGGTGATTTGGGGGGCAATGTTTCAAATACTTTGCACCTTTCCTTAAGCTTATTTTCTGGGAAGCACTGTAGGTAACCTTGAACTGTAATTCATACTGGAGACAATAATACAGACTGCTGGACTGGTAGTGGTGAGAAGGTGTGTTTCTATATCAAAGATGACAACACAAAGGGAGAAAACAATTTCAACAAGGCAAAGCATCTGGAGGCTTTATGAAGACATCTGTGGTTGCTAAACCCTTACTGTGGTTTAGTGCTTAATCTGATAGACTGAATTCAATTACAAGAACTAGCTGAAGCATATTTAACTGCTATTTTCTGCCCTCCTAAGGAGCCAGCAAGAGATCTTCTTTAAATAAACTCTAATCCCAGTAGATTGGCAGGTAAGAGAAGCCTGGGCCTACATGCAAACAGACACAACCTTGCTCCACCACTGAGAGAAACCAGTGCTGCATTCTGGGTGTACCTGACCATGAATAACCTCTTGTGCTTGTGATGCTCTGCTCCTGCCAACCCACATGTAAAAATTTCTGTGCCAAGTTGCTCTTTTGTTGACTGGAGTGGGATTATACACACGTACAAGTGCCTGCAGGATCGCAGCCCTATTAAACTAAAGTTATTTTCAAGTCTTTACCTGATCCCACCAATGCAGGACTGCCAAGAATATGCTCAGATTCTTCATTTCACAATATACTACCAACTGTCCTTATTTTTCAGATTTTAAAACCAAAACTGGAAGCAAGAACATTATTTGTAGTGTCTTGCTGTGATTTGCTGTGAATTGTTTTTTCTTGATCTTAGAAAAAAAGGTAGTTTAAGAATTAGTAAAAATGTACATGAGTATTGGAAGACTTCTCTTTTCTGTACTTGCTTTGTTTTGTTTGAGGTTTTTTTAATCTGAAAATAATAAATAAGTATTAGAAGCTTCATTATACAAGCAATTCTTTTTTTTTTTTTTTTTAATCCATGATAGACCAATCTAGGAGGGTTGTGCATAGCTTCCTTTTTTTAGTACCCACTTCGCCCATACTAACATCATATCCAAATTCATACATGTTTGCTAATATTCAATATTAGCAATCTTAATTTATTAATAAGTAGATAATCCCTATGAAATAAAGAAATGGGTAAGATTCACAACTCTTCCACTCTGGGGTTTGTGGGGGGGTATTTGTTTGTTTTGTTGGGTTTTTATTCTCTTCTCTCTAATATTTTCTGACTCCTGTTTTATGCACAAAAGCCACTAGATGGCAATGAAACTGCTGGTACCCAGCAGCTCTGCCAAGTCATCAGGGAGAAAGCCCGGGGATCAGGAGCAAAGATGGGTGCCAGTGACATGCCAGGGCCTGAGAAACTGGGACCAGCTGCAGACTGGGCTATGTGAGCCAGGAAAGGCACTCCAGCGGTGGCAGAAAGCACTGCCTTGCCTGCATGAGGTATTGAGGTGGATAACGTGGTGACCTGAGGCGTCACTTCTCCAAGATGGAACATCTCCTGTCTCCTGACACAGATGGCACTCGGTTTAGAGGTACTCCTGCAGAGGCCAGAGACCGTCAGTCAGCAGAACAGCAATAGCTGTGTGTTGGAGAGGCAGGAGTTCCTGGCTCCTGTTTCTATCTGCAAATGTACACTCTAAACTAGGAATTAAAATCAGCTCTTTGAGGGGTTGCCAATCATTGCTGTATGAGAACAATGGAGTCAAAGAAAAACAAATCTGTTGTATTTTTCAAGCAATTTGCCCACACGTTCTTGAATGCAAATGGTAAGCAGTGTCAGGGGAAGTGAGGTACACAATGAGGAACACAGAGCTATAAAACTGCCTTTAGGTATATCCTTGTTCCTGGTGGACTTAAAGGAAAGCAGGCTTCTCCAAAACAGATGTAATTCCTGCTCTCTCTAATGCTCTGGCCATAGTCCTATGTTTGGTGCTCCAAAGATGTCATAACCAGTCTGTTGATATTTCCCCTCCAGACTCCTTCAAGCTGCCTCTCAGTGTGACAGGAGTACCAAGTGAAAAATGTGAGAGGACTATTGTCCTCCAAATCGGCCGACACTGCTGAGAGAAAGCAGTCAGGGCTGAGGCAGCTCCACTGTCCCCACTGAGCCCAGGAGTGCCAGGACAGAAGACCCCAAGCCTTGTGAGGTGCAGCTAACCTTTGAAGACTCAGCCATCCCCCTCTACATGGCATGGCATGGCACCTGACAGGAATATGTATGCCCACAACTTTCCATCACATCCTCTTGAGTGTTCTGCTTTCACTCAAGCTGTTGTTCTGGAAAAAGTATTAAGAATTAAAACTGTGATATGTTTTCCAAATAAGAACAGCCTCAAAAAAACTGTAAACCGGCCCAAACCAGAGTAAGCTGCTTCCAAACCTACGTGGAAAAACAGTATGGTTTAAACCAAAATCTGCCCAGCTGAATATTTTTTTCTGGTGACAAGAATAATACGAAAAGAACATGCCAAAGAGGCACAAGGTGGGGGTGACCATGTGTAGACCACTGTGTAGGCACTGAGAGCTCCTGAAGCCTTGGCTCTGAGGATGCTCCTTGACTTTGGCTTTGTGCAGCTTGTGACTACTCTAAATGCTGGCATTAATGTGATGTACAGCGTATAGTCCTTTACCCATCCTGCAATGATCCTTACAAATTAGCCAACTGCGTCTCCATTACTTGAAAAATTATAACAACATTGTGTTGCACTTTATGCTCACCAGGAGCAGGGAGTCTAGAAATCCTGCACAGGAATCTGACCACCTCTGCTCCCAGATGCCACCTGTGCAGAGAAAAATTTCCTTTCTGCATCTCCTCCCCAACATGCTAGTTCTTTAAGCCTGCACCCATACTTTTTTGTTTGCACATTGATGTTTTGTGCACCTTCATCCTGGTTCTTCACAAGCTGTAGACTTTTGTTGGAAATTGTGCTTTGGACAATGACACAAAACAGCGCCCACCAGGTGTTCACCAGCCTCACCAGTTCACCACGGCGGAGGTTCTAGGAAGAGACAAATACCAGAGTATCTTCTGTGGTGCCCGACGGCACCAGATTTTCATCAGATTTTGTACAGAGGGGTCCCAGCCCCGCTCGCAGGGCAGCAGCGCTGCGGGCCCGCAACAAACCATGGAACGGGCCTGGGGCTGTGGGCAGCCCCTGCCCCCGCAGCGCTCTGCACACATGGACAGCGCTCTGGACACACGGACAGCGGCTTCCCACACGTCCCTCGGCTCTGCCTTGTTTCAGGGCACGGGGGGCACTTTGGGGGATCCTCCTGGAGAGCTTGAGGGAGCAGAGGCCGCCTTCGCAGCCCTGTTTCCAGCGCAGGCCGTACGGGAGCATCCCTCCCGCACCGCGTGTGTCCACCCGCTCCCAGAGCCCGCCGGGGCCGCCTGGGCGCTGGTCTCTATTGCTATCTCTATCGCTGTCTCTATCGCCATCTCTATCCCGGTCCCTGTCTCTATCTCCGCCAGTCCCCGCTCCCGCCCCGCCTTCCCGCCCCTCCCCAGCCCCAACCATAGAGTTGAGGCCTCCGAGGGGGAGCGAGCGGCGGCGGAACCATCGAGCCGCGGCCGCCGCTTCCGGAGCGCGGCTCCGCGCCGCCACTCGGTGCCGGTGCAAGATGGCGGCGGGGCCGTGGAGGCGGCGGGCGCGGGGCTGAGCGAGGCCGCGGCGGCCCGAGGGAGCCGGAACCGGGCCCGGCCGGCCCAGGGGTGAGAGCGGCGCGGCGGGGCTGGGCTGCGGGGAGAGGAGAGGCGGCAATTCGCGCTGCCTCATTTTCCTCCTCCTGCCATCGGGCGGGAGTAGGAGGGGGGGGCTTTCTGCCCCGTTCCTCTGTCGCCAAAAGAATAATGAATTTAGTGCTTGATTATATATATTTATTTTTTTCATCTTCTGCCGTTAACTTGTTGCGTTGAAACTCTTTAGTCTGGGTCCTTTGAAGATGTGAACTCGAGGTTTCAGAAGTTTGTTCTCTTTCTCTTGGGCCTTTAAATATTAGAAGGATAGGAAATAGGGGGTGTAAATCTAACTCCTGCCTGTATTTACTGAGCTTCCCACCTAAGGAAGCGATAGTGTCTTGAAAAAGCATAAACAAACCCACCCCGGTGCTTTGGCAGGGAAGTAGTTTTGGAGGGGAATGGAGAGAAGAAACATCCCTGGCTGTGGTTTGGACACTCATGTAGTCATCTGTAAGCTGGAGAAATATCTAAAGACAGGAAATAATTTTTTGCAGAATAATCCTACACTTGCTGATACAGTGGGGGCTGGGGAGAGATACCAGGGGCAGTTAGAAGTCTGAGGAATGGAGGAGGTCTATGGGGAAACATTTGAAACAGAGGAAGGTGAAAACTGGAGAGCACTTACAAGAGTGAAAGAGAAGATAAACTCTAATACACTCTTGGAAAGATAAAATGTGTGTTTTTCCCTGCCCTGCAGCCCTCAGTACTGTAAGCACAAAGCTTCTTGGTTTGAGTTGTAATGGGAATAATAACAAACGCATCAATGAGCTTGAAATTATAAGCTACTAAATTAGCAATAAGTAGGTACTTAGTTAAATAGTAGTACTTTGTTGGTGTCGGGCAGTTTTGATACAGGTGCTGAGCTCATAGTCAAACCTTAAAGGTGTTTGGGCTCTTTGAGGGAGTAACTTGCTGATAGACAGAAGAGAAACAAGCGTCCTCAAGCTACCAGTGTGTAGGACCTGATACCATGTTATCTTTTCCAGGTCCATCCCTCCTTTTAAGTTTCATTTTTTGAGGCAGAAGAAAAAATATCAAAATGGGGCGGAGATCTACATCATCCACCAAGAGTGGGAAGTTTATGAATCCCACGGATCAGGCCCGTAAGTATCCGTGAAAGCTGAGCAGGGAGGAAAGGGGAGTGCCCAGAGGAGCAGGTAAAAAGCTTTCTCTGAGGATAGAATCCTCAGGATAGAACTGAGTTTCTCTAACTTGAAAAATATTATCTCAGTTTTGTCTGGGAAGGCTGCTTGCTTTCATGCTCTTGCTTCTCTCAAGTATTTACCTCTTGGGTCCCCACTGGCTATCAGTGTTGGAAGGCCTTTGTACTTAGCTGCTGGATAAACTGCAGGCTGCTTCCTGGGACAGAGTTAATCTGTCCCAGGCAGGAATCTAAAGTTTTGCAGGTGCTCTGGTTAGATGGGGGAGTTGTCTTACTGTTTTGTCTATTTTTGGTAACATGCCAGGTGCTATCAATGCTCAGTGAATAAAGAAAATCTGGACTCCCACAGTGGATGTGCTTTTTTTCAGAGGCATTCTCAAAGCCTACATATTTTTAAAGTGTGTTGTCTGATGACTCTGTTTCAGCTTCTGTGCAGCAACCTTTTCATGATTGCACCTATCACTATGACTTTGGCTGCCTATTGTTCTTTTTTGTATGGCAAAAGCCTTGCTTCTGCAGAAATGAAGACTGAAGTATCTTTTTTTTTTCCTGTATAAAAGACAAGAAATAGAAATCAATTTCATTATATATTTCTCTTTCACTGGGAAGCATCTTTGTAAAATGAGTGAGCTGTTGAGAAACATCCCTAGTTTTGATGAAAAAAAGGTTATTCATTAATTTGATTTTGTCTTTCAAGTTGTTACTTTCTTTTTCTTTTCCCCTGTAGGGAAGGAAGCTCGGAAAAGGGAACTAAAGAAGGTAACTAAAGAGATTAGGGAGCTTGTAGTTGGCATTTCCTATACTGTGTATTGTGTGTGTGATTGTAAAGGGCCGTGAATAGACTATGGATATTTTAATTGATATCCTAAGACTGACTTTGGAAATACTATCCAAACATGTAGTTCAAAAAAACATAGAAGTCTTGTTTGGAGTAAAGATCCCCAGACATTCTTTAACTTGTATTTATTTTTGAAATATTGCTGG